GAGTACGAGGTGGTGCGTCAGCATCTCACTTCGCCCGAGTTCATCCTGGTTGGCAGCGAAGACGAGGCCGATGTCCTGTGGCTCACTCATCATTACAAGAAATTTGAGGAGCTTGCTGATCAGTCGCCTGGCAAGTTTATCAACCAGTTTCCGTTCGAGTACGTGATCACCATCAAGGATCTGCTCAGCATTGTGGGGCGACGGGCGGCCAAGGAGCACCACAATGGCCTTACGCTGGAAACGTATCCCAGTTGGCTGCCCACCACCTATAACTTGTCCACGGAACTGATAGAGTTCGCCGCATATTACCAAACGAGAGCAGCCAAGGGCCTCGATAACCACTGGATCATTAAACCCTGGAACTTGGCTCGCGGTCTGGACACCCACATCACGGACAACATCAAGCAGATTGTGCGTCTGCCGGCTACTGGGCCGAAAATTGCTCAAAAATACATCGAACGACCAGTACTCTTTAGTCGCGAGGAGTTGGAGGGACGCGTAAAGTTCGATGTACGCTATGTGATCCTCCTGAAGTCCGTGAAACCCCTAAAGGCCTATGTACACCGGAAGTTCTTCTTGCGCTTCGCCAATCGTCCCTTCTCTCTGGATCACTTCGATGACTACCAGAAGCACTATACGGTGATGAACTACCAGGAGGAGGCGCAGCTGCACCACGTCAAGTGCGACGACTTCCTGACCCTCTGGCAGGAGCAGTATCCGGAGAACAACTGGTCGACCCTGGAGCAGCAGATCTGTAAAATGCTCCACGAGGTGCTGCAGTGCGCCAGTCAAGCGGAACCACCCTGCGGAATGGCACCTTGTGCCCAATCCCGCGCTCTGTACGCAGCTGACATCATGCTCCGCTGGAAGGATGATGAGGAGAAGGTGATGGAGCCTCAGTTGCTGGAGATCAACTGGACGCCCGACTGCAAACGCGCGTGCGACTACTATCCCGACTTTTTCAACGATATTTTCCGGCTGCTCTTCCTGGACGAGGACAACGACGACAGCTTTCGGCTGCTAACGGCAGACAATTGACATGATGAATCGATCAATAAACATGATTTCCTAATGCTTAATGCTTATTCGTGTATTTCATTTCGTTTAGACTATACAAAACTTAAATAGCTTGCAATTTGTACAATATACAAGTAGGTGTGTGTATGCTTCTATGCGTGGGGAACTAAGTGCTAAAGGCTTAACTAACTAGGACAGCAAGTCAGTTGGTGGTGTGGCTTATGGTTCTATCATAGCTTGGACAAGTTCTATAGTCAAGAATTTAGTGTAGAGTTCAAAGAGTGAGCTTACAATTAACGCGTCTACAATTCTCAATTGCAAATGGCACTTGATGAACGATGAACAATGGTAAATAGTGAAATGATAACTATACAGGATGATATCCCAAGAATTTATATTAGAGTCGATGCTAACTTTAACTTAAGGCAATTTCAAAGGCACCCCCAGTCAAGCTAAGTTCACCGTGGAACGGAAACGATAAAGTCTATCGAAACATAAGTCAAATATGTTATAGTCTTCTATAAATAAGCTATCAAGGGTCTTGTACTTGGCTTAGTTCTTCATTCAACACGTGGGATCTTGGCTTAACTCTGAATAATACATGTACGAACTAATAGTGTGAAAATGCAAGGGAATAATGTCAATGAATGAATCTTAAATTAGCTAGGTGGTACACCTAAAATATCGCTTACAGCTAAGGCTTGACTACAACCACTAAACGCAGGAATCGTCAAAGTCCAGGCGTATCTTCTCATCAGCGGAAGCTAGCTTATGTATAGTCTTTTTGATGCGCAGCGCTGGTAAGCGCACGTTGGGGTTTTGGTGCCAGCACTCTTTCATGAGCTTGGACATGCCAGCCAGTAACTAAAGATTAGAAAAAAATTAGCTTTACAACTCTTAAGGTCGATTTTAACGAGATAGTCTTACCGAATCTGAGCTCCAGCGATTGGGAATGGAAGGCCTGTAGTTGTCAATGCAGACCACCTTGCGCATATCCTCAAAGCTGGGATCCATGGGCACCACATCGTAAAAGGGCACCTTGTACTCCTCGGCAATGCCGCACGATATGGTGCGGCGACAAACCTCCCACAGAACCAGTCCAAAAGCATAAATATCCGTACGGCGCAGTGCCTCAAAGCATTCCAAATCGATGCTGTGGGGGGAAACAAATTTTAATTTCAAAACATCCTGTTAGTAAGCCATTAAGTACCCACCTCTCATCCAGAACCTCTGGAGCCATGTAGCGTTTGGTGCCCACTTTTGGATTGTTGCCCAGGTCCAGCTGTCCTGTGACATGTGAATGGGTGACGGCCAGTCCAAAATCGGCTATCACACAGGACCCGTCCGAGTTGACCAATATGTTCTTTGACTTCAAATCTCGATGAGCCATCGCTGGCTTGCCTTGCTTGCCGAATATCTCTGTGTGCAGGTGCACCAGTCCATTGGCTATCGATAGACAAATCCACACCATGTCGTTGTGGCTTAGAGCGTTGCGGTTCAGGTGATCGAAGAGCGAGCCCAGCGGGAAGTAGTGCGTCATCAGCCAAAGTTGGGTGCACGAGTTGCGCGACGTCATGTCGGAGCCGATGAAGCCGAGAATATTTTCATGGCGGAGCAAAATGGTGCTGAAAAATAGGGTCGGTTATTATTGATGATTCATAAAGTGCAACAGGTGACGTGACAATGACGTTTAGATTTAAATGTATAATGTGGAATAATTTAACTTCTTCTCATCTTTTATACGAGTTTCAATTTAAAAGCTGGTTTCAATCAATTTCAACAATTAAATTTCGTATATAAATTGAGATTTCAGGATTTTCCTTTAAAAACTTATATGTATCTTGTTTGATTAACAAATTGAATTAATTAAACCAGACAAAAAGATATACGTAAAATGTAGTCTTCACCTGTAGATTTCTGTCTCCCGTTTCCAAGACTCTTCGTCGCGACTGAAGAATATCTTGACGGCGATGCTCTCGCCGTGCCAGTGACCGCGCCACACCTCGCCGTATTTGCCTCGCCCGATGCACTCGATCAGGGTGACCTGTTTGGCCAGAGTGCGCTGCACCAGCAGGGGCAGTCCACTGCCCGATCCCGAGGTCACCGAGTGCTGGAGGTACTCCCTCAGTGTACTGTCACCGGCGCTGGTGGCCCGCAGCAGCTCATCATTGACCAAATAAGCCTCCGGATCCTGCTTGGTGCGCGAAGCAGCCAATCGTTTCCGATGGTTGCGACGAATGAAGAAGATGGTCACAGCGCCCAGCATCGCAATTATCAGAAATGGACCCAGAATGGCGGCCGACATTTTGCTTATATTACTGGTATTGGCCGTTATCACCGTAACATCATTGGCAAACGGCAGAAGTTCGGGAAATTCTCCATCATTGCAGTGATCGCCGGCACAGCAGACCATATTGACGAACTTGGCCGTATTTCGTTTGCTGGGGCCATTGATCTTCAGCGAGTTCTGACTGCAGTACATAGGCAGATGGTCCGGCGAGGTGATGCATCCACGGGACACGTGCTCCTGGCCATCGGCATCGCGGGTGCGGGACTTCCAGCACTGTGAGAGTGAAAACATAGATTTAGTTATGTATACTGGTAATTTCAGTAGGCATAACTCACCTGAATGGCATTCTGGCAGGTATGGGAAAGTTCATAGGGATCCAAGCAGGGTGGCTCGCAGGAATAGCATTTGTATCTGTTTAAAGAGAGGGTTTTAATAATATTTACTAAAAGTTTCAAAAGAAAGATCTCTATGTAAGTAGTAGTATTGAATTGAAATTTTAAATTGAATATTAAATTAGTTTTGTGTCTATTAACATTTTATTAGCATAGGGCGTTTCTGAAAGCCCTGACAATATTCAGGACATGAAAATATCCTTCAGAAAAATCCTTCTTTGTATTAGAACTAGCTGTTATTCTATCGTTTCAGAGTAATTTGAATGGTAACTGCTTAATATTACAATTTTTAGATCCTAACTCCGAGTGGAAAGAAATCTGGGGATTTCCTGGGACACCTCGATAATATCGAATTTTCCATTTGATTACTGTAGTTTTTACCTTCTTTTCATGCGTCGCTTACTCTTAATGTGTCTCCTAATCAAGGATTAGCAGCATGGTAAATGGGAGGGAATAGAGGTTAGCAATACAGTGGAATTTTGGACAAAAGCAGGGAATACAAGCTATGAGAGTTGGGATCAAGAACCAAGATTACCTGGGATGCGTCTGCACAGAGTTTTGGGGGACGGCAGGGAACTCTTTGCCATTGAGATGGGGTGAGGATAGGGGCTCCATGTCTATATCCGGAATGTCCTCCCGCAAATGATCGCTGATTTCAGCTGAAAAACAACAAATGCACATTAAAGCATACATATGTATGTACATACATCCGCGCAAGGCCCCACCACTACCACACGCACACACGGGCAGCCAGCAAGTTCTGTATACACACACGGAACTCTGGTGTGCGTGGGTAAATCATTAAGAAAATGCACTTATGCTGCAAAACGCCCACGACATCCGTTTATATAATGCGTTCTATGTTGCTTTTTATGGGGGGTTTTTACTTATTGGCTTGCCGAGAACACCTTTTCACATCTAGTCTTGCAAAGTACGCAGCACAATTGGATAGAACCGTAGCATATGAAAACAAATCGGATCCATCCACAACACTTGGGCACTTTTCAAGCACTTTGTTGGGGTCTTTAAACCCCTTACAGGCAGCTCTTCTCATACGCACGCCCTTCTAGAAACACTCATTAATTGATTAACACTAATTAAAGCCCACCTCTGGCATTATTGTATATTGAAAACGACAATAGAAAAATTAAAAATAAATTGGACTCCATTGCTCCATTCCGTTTTAGAGTGCGTAAAGTGTGGCCAGAGGGGGGTGAACACGAGAAGGCAAAAACATAAAAATACCAAAAATACCGGGTCTTTGAGTTTCCTAAATTGCCTGTAAAAATATACCAAAGCATTGACCACACACACAAACACGAGCAGCCGGTCCAGCGGAAAAGTTTCTAGAACGTCGAACTCAAACTCCACTCTTCTCCATTAAATCTTCTATTAAATAGCAGTTCTTTATTATTATATATTTAACACATTGCTGTTGCAACAACAACAGCATTAATATTTACAATACAGGTGAGTGGGGTGCGTGCTATTGAAGAATAAAACATAATTCGAGGTGTTGTATGTGACATGTAAGTTGTTGCCCTACATGAAACCCACAATAGAGATGTCCTATAAATGTAAATACTCTTCAGAATCGGTATAATAACTATTACCATATAAACTCTACAGATTTTCATAGTTACAACGACCGGTTTGTCCAGAAAATCAATTAGTTTTAGTTCGTATCGATCAAACAAGAGTTTTCCCCCTCCCCCACCGCAAACATGTGTTCGGTCACGTAACTGTTATAATTTTCCTCGTTTTCCTCGGAGATGAGATACACACGCAGTAGGGAACACTATATCTATATAGTGTCCCTCTATTTACCGCCCACCCAGTACATATATATAGTATCAGTCGGCAGTTGGTAAACATTACAATTATTATCACTGTGTGTATATGGATGCCTGTAAAGATATACATAGTTGTTTATTGTACAATTAGTTGGGTTGCGCCAGAAATCGCATAATGTGTGGGGGCGGAGGAAATTGAGGGAAGGCGGGGGAAGAATCTCGCTAAACAAAAACAATTGGGGGCAAATGGTTTTTTTCGCGCTTATCAAGAGCCCCTTACTGCGCAGATACCGCTCTCTTGGGCTCTCGAAGCCCCTCCAATAATTGCCGGCGTTTCGGGCGGTACGCTCTCATTCATATAAACACGCTCGTCGGGAAAGCATCGTTCCCAAAAAACACAAAAAAAATACATATAATAAAAAAAACACGTAGGTAAAACGCGTCCCCTAGAATTTTAGAAACTACGCAGTTCGTTTATTTATTGGCCGACAAATAAAATAGAGCGTGGTCAGTTTATACTCACTTACATAATGCTAATAATACGGCGGATAACCGGCGATTTTTGGCAACGACCTTACTGCGTCATTGATTAAATACTGATTTGCTTATCGGCCGATTAGAATTTCGTGATATACCTACATAGGTATTTGGTTACGAATTTGTCAGGACCTAGGTCAACCTTGTGACTCGGTAGATGGCTTATCACGGTTTTGATTGGAAAGTTTCCACAGACCTTTTACCAGGTTTCGTAAATGTCAGTCATAGGTAAGACCTTCAAGGGTTTTGTGTGTAATTCCCTAATAGAAACTATTATTTCTTATCTTAGTTGAACAATCTTGATGATAGTCTGACGAATTACACGTCACAGTTTTATACAAAAGTGATATTGAAGAACACGACACCCATAAAGAAATAGCATGGTATTAGGCGTACCAAGGATATTTTTAGGATGTTTCTTATAAAATCAATATAACCATTATTTCAGTTCTAATAATTTTAACGCTTTTTTTTTACCTTTTTCCACTTTTAGAACCTTCCAGAAACCAAACGCATTTCCCAAGGAAACGTATTCAGAAATTAAGCAACCCCTAACACAACAAAACCAAACAAAAAACTAAAACCCCAAAAGTGATAAGAAAATTGATTATTGTGTAGAGTGCCGAGAAGAGACCCGAAGAGATCTCGCCGTGAGTGAAGTGTCCCTTTGAGAGCGCTATGTCCGCATCAGCTGCCGGTTCGCGTAATAAACACTCTAAGATCCGTGACGATGAGCAGCTCGACATAACCAAGGACGAGTTTAACCGGTTCAAGGAGGCCCTTGGCCAGGAGGAGTTCCGCAAGCTGTTCTTCGATTACGTCGAGGAGATCCAGGATCCCGAGAACCGCAAGATCTACGAAGAGGAGATCACCCAGCTGGAGAAGGAGCGCGGTGTGGAGGTAAGGTTCATCCACCCGCAGCCGGGATTCGTGATCAAGACAGCCCTGGATGGCGAACTCAAGTGCTTCATCAACATCGCCGGCTCACCGGAGATCGAGAGGCCCAAGAACGAGGTGGCCACGGATCCATCTAATGGCAGTCGTGGGCTGAGCTGGTCCATTCCCATGGCCCAGACTGCGGCGCGAAGTGACTGCGATGCCAAGAACAACCACTGCAAGGTGTTCGATGTGGTCTTCCATCCGGATGCCCTGCACCTGGCCAAGCGGAACCAGCAGTTCCGGCAGTGCCTCATCGACACGGCCCTGGACGCAGTCGAGCGGGAGTACAAGGTCTCCCTGGATCGCGCCAATCTCAAATTTCCCAAGCTGGACTACAAGGGCATCGCCCGTCCCACTGTGATACGCAAGTTGTCTGATAATCCCTCGGCCGAGGAGCAAGAGCCTCATCCCCTGGCGCACATGTTCCCCACAAAGAAACCCTCCGGAGAAAAAGTAGAGCCCCTCGTTCTGCCCATGAAGACGAAGCCCACTCCCAAGCCGGAGTATACGGTGCCCAGGTATTCGATCAAGCACAGCCACGACGTGGACTTGTCGGAGTACACGGACGAGTTGGACGCCAAGCTGCACGTGACCGTTCCTCGCTCCCTTGTCGTCGAGATTGAGCTGCCCCTGCTCCGCTCCACAGCCGAGTGCCAGCTGGATGTCACCTCGAAGTCAGTGTATCTGTTCAGCGAGCGACAGGGCGCCAAGTACCGCCTGAAACTGGACCTGCCCTTCACCGTGGACGACAAGGCGGGCAGAGCTCGCTTCGACACAGACATGCGTCGTTTGAGCATCACCTTGCCCGTGGTCCGGAAGAGCGTCCAGGAGCAGGGCCAGATGCACGACACCTTGCGCCACTTCAGCCGCGAGGACAGCGGCGTTGAGCTCCATTCCAACAGCGAGTCGCCAGTGGAGGAGGACCCTGATGGCGAACTCAGCGATTCCAAGGCGGATATCTCCGAGATTGGTAAGAAGAACTTTTTAAGTAACAGAAATTCCCAAGATAAAGATTCAAATCATGTTCTATAAATTTCTTTTATTTATAAATTCCTTTTTATTAATCTGTTATTTGTTTCTGTTCCCCCCAGCCACGCCCACTGCCACGCCTGTGCGCAAAGCCAACAGTCCGTTCCTCAAGAGCTCCGTTCACTACCAACTACCCAGCAAATTCGACTGCAACGTCCTGGACAATGTGATGGCTTTTGTGCTCCACGTGCCCAACGTTCAGCCCGACTCCATTGAGCAGTTGAGGGAGCAGCGGAGCCTGCATCTGCAGTTCGCCACCATCGGCAGTGGCTACTATCCCACCCACTATGCTTTTTACGTAGAGCTGCCGGCGGAGAACGAAGCCTCCGCCATTGAGAGCGTGGAGGCAGAGGCCTGGGACAACAATGTGGTACTCAAGCTAAGCCTGAGCTCGCAGAGCGAGACTCCTGCTAGCTATCTGGCCGGACTAGATGCCACGGATCTCATGGAGTACCCAGTGCATGGCCAATACAATGTTAAGGACAAGGCAGGAGTTAATACAAAGAAGGAGATTGCTCCGCTGGATGTTAAGTTCGAGCGCAGCCAGGAAGGTCAGGCCCTAAAGGTTACCATACGCCCGGGGGCCAAGGAGGAGGAGCATGAGCAGGAGGAGGATGACGAGCACCAGGATCACGAGCAAGAAAACGAGCAGCAGCACCAGCAGCAGGGTCAAAACAAAAAGCCCGGCAAGAAGCAACGCAAGCGGAACAAGAAGGAGCGCTCCTTCTCCGAGTCGGCGTGTGATGATATGGTCCACGTCCAGGAGCCCGTGGCTAGAAATCCTGAACCCCAGCCGAATCCCACATTTAAACTGCCCTCGCAGCGCAAGCAACGCAGCTACTCGGAGTGCAATGACAGCACTGGTGGCAATCATCGCGGCATCCTCAAACGATTCAGCCGTTACGGACCCCGACCCTCGATATCGGACAGCTGCTCCTCAATCGACGACTGCTCCTCATACTCGTGCTCCGTGGACGCCTCTGGCACATCGCTATTCTCGCATTCGTTTGGCGGCATTCCCGAGGAAGATCGGTCCGATGCCGGGCTCTCGGAGAGCTGCAAGAAGACTGTTAGGTTTAATGATCACATCATGAAGCAAGTGTTCCGGTGAGTATCCGGGTAGAGCCACTGCCAAATTGCCAGTAATCATCTAATAATTTGCACAATCCGCTAGGCTTGACTCGAGCATCCTGGGTCAGCGCAAGAAGAACCAGAAGCGACGCGATCTCAAGCTGCGGGCTCAGCAGCGTCGCCTCAGCGAAGGTGATTCCGTTGATTACGAGGAGACCCGTGGCACTGCCCTCAAGGTGAGATCTAGATCTCTAGATTGGACCGCTTTCGTTAATTGAGCGAATATCCAGGCTGGTTAGGAGGCTGTTAGCTTGTTAGCCCGTTAATTGAATTAGTGGCCATCAGCGAAATCAGGCAGTTTGGCTTGATCTGCCTCAGTCCAGCCAGACAATAAATATTGATCAAGTCTTTGTTTAGGCTATTGTATTACACGTGTGCGAAAATTAAACAGATCTGGAGTGGGCTCTATTTATAGCAGGAATGTTGCGAAAATTAATTGAAGTATGTTAATTGATATGCAGCTGCAGAAGACTCGGCAGGGAATGGAAATTTTATGCATTTGTAGACGGCAAACAGTAGATGGAGCTTTAAGTCTTGGGGGTTTTGTTTATTGGTATTATATTACAGGGGTATAAACTGAAGAGGCTTTTGTTTGCGTAATTGATATGCAGCCGGCATGATAAATTCTGATCATTTCCACAATAAATTATCCAGAAAAAGATTGGCATGTGTTTTTAATCTTTTTATTTTGATGTGAGAAAATGTGCCTACTCTAAGTGCTTATAATAATTAAAGGTAAAATCTATTAGGGTACATAGGAAAATCAAGAACAGCTAATTGGTTAGCAAATGTCATACTGAAAACCAAAATAATGTTTCCCTTTTTTACAGCAAAAAGAAAATACATCAAGAAATGCCAACAGGCCCAAGGGAGAGTCCTTGCTTCACGACAGCGGACTGGATCTCACTGGAGCAGCAGGTGCCCAAAGGAGCAACAACGAATCGGAGCCCAAAAATGCCATGATGTTTGAAATGGATGATTAGGATGATGTTATTTAAACCATAAATATATTCATATTTTTTGAGTGTTTTAGAGGCATGTTTTCAAGAATTTGAAATGCTACTTATATATTAACTAATGCTACGTATTTTTTTAAATATTTGTACTGTAATTTGTTTCGTATCCAAGCAAATTGCTCAATTGAAAAGATTTTCAAAAATTGTAATTAGGCAACAAGAATCAGGGCTAAAATGAGAAATCAAAATATTCATTACATCATTGTATTAAATGTTATTTAATTCGGTTATTCATTGAAACTGTTGAAACGAAAAATGAAATCCTACGCTGAACTGAAACACCTATTATTATAAAATAAAAATATGCATGTTCATTCATATTGCGAGATCCAGTTGATGTCTTAAAAGTTTGCAAACTATAAGTTTTAAGTAAACATTACAACACTCATTTATTGGCTGCATGCTCATAGCTCACAAAACAATCACAACACGATAAACTTAAACAATATCAATAGTTAACAATTCCTCTAGTATTACACACGACAGAAATCACCCAAACGCATAAAAGTAGTGTATAAGCTATGTACATGTTTAGAAACACTGGCTGAAGCAATGAATGTAATTTTAACTTTTGTAAGCGAGCTCGCAAGTTAAAATATATAAACATCCCTTAAAAATGAGTAGTTTATTGTGTTGGCTTTAGAAGTGGTCCTCCAACAACTTGTGAAAGTGTTCGATTTGCTGGAGTTCCCGACGCTTTCCTTCCAACACATAGAGTACTGGGCAGTCGAGGGAATCACACTGGAGATTACCCAGACGTCCGCAACAGGCCTGGCAGATCTGCCGCGTTAGCTGGTAGCCCCTGTCCAAACGGGCTGTCTTATCCGAGAGAACTACTACACATTTGGAGGCGTTCTTCAGGCAATCTGGGCAAATGCCTGCCTTGGTTTGGCGACCACAGTCGATCACACAGCTGGTGGTGGAAAAGTACTGGGAAATGGTGGACTTGGCGCCTTTTGCACCGGCCAATTCGTTGGCTGTTCCCACAGCCGGCGTCATGAGCAACTTCCTCGGCAGACTGGCAAACCAATCATGGACATTTGCACCGATCAGCAGCAGGCAACGATTCAGCGGTGGAATTATCGCCTTGGTGATGTAGTAAATGGCATTGATCTTGTGACCCTCATTGGCCAGGATGTCGTGTGGGCTGCGTACCAAGCGGATGAGCTGCATGCCCGGCGGTCCGTTGACTATTATAAAGGGTACGCGCTCACCGCGACGCGGCACATGTCGTGGATCCTTCTGCATCCATTTTCTAAAAAGCGAGATTTTACTATCCGAACAGGAAACTTTAAAAGGATGTCTTCAACTTACCTTGTAAGTGCCAATGCTGGCACACAGGCCGTGGGTTTGTAACCATTAAGACCCCTGAATTCCTTGGCGAAAATCAGATCCTGCAGGTTGGCCCTGCCCGAAAGCAGCTTGGTGAACTGCCGGCATACGTATTCCTTGATCTTGCTGACGTCCTGAGTTTCGAACAAAATGCGCAACACCTTCTCCAGCATCTTGGCTACCGCAGGACAGCCATCCCGCCGCACTGTCTCAATGCCCTTGGCCTCGTAAACCGGTTGCGCCTGATCGGCAGTCTCGTACATGTAGCCCACGTAGCGCTTTTTCGTTTGAAGCATGCAGGGTTGATAGACCTTTTCCAGCTTTAGCTTAACTGGCTGCGGATTCATCTCGGTAACGGCTTGAGCAATCTCCTCCCCGATTCGAAAGGCTTCAGCTCGATTTCGACCAGGGACCAGAACGAACATGGAGTCCGTATCGCCGTAGACGACACGCACCTTCCACTCCTCATTGGTCTCCACTAGTTTAATTGCCCGTTCCAGAGTCTCCCGACCCTTAGACACAACCGAATCACCCACTTCTACCGCAGGCATTCTGCCACTAAAGTTGGCAGCTGTATAACCATAGGTGACATTGGCCATCAGTTTGAGGCCCAACTGTCGGGAGTGAAGAATCCGCTGAAGAGCTGAGCTATCCTTGTGGAGTTTCATTGACTGCTTGACCATTTGCCGCGTGTCTAGGATCTCGGTAAGCATGCGCGGTAGGATGCCCTCGCGCACTTCCCGCTTGACAAAGACGACGCCGCAGGGCGAAACGGTAACCAGGTCGTGCTCCAGCAGCTTCTGCAGCATCTGTCGGGGGACACGCAGCTGCGAGGCCCCGAATTCGAAGGGTGAACTACCGCCCAGGTGCTCCACTCTACCCAGACATGTGGAGAAGCAGTAGTTGTAGGCGATAATCATGCTGGGGTACAGGCTCTGAAAGTCGAGCACGATCAGGGGGTCAGCGTAAAATCGCGACTGCGGCTCCATGATGAGCGCCAGGTACTCGGGCGCCCGCATATGAGCTCGAGCCTGGACGCTGGGCGAGAGTGGCACCAGGTTTTTCGGCTTGGCGATTCTGTAAGATTGGGGAGGTTATAAGACTTCTACATTGTTCTCATTAAATGTATTAGATTTACCTTAACATCATACTCTCCACGCGAAACTGCGATCCACGCGACAGCACCTCGTAGAACTGGATGCCAATGAGCTTGGCCATTTCGCTGGTGCGTCCCAGCAAGTCCAACTGATCCAGGAGGGCCAAAGTGCCACGCACCCGCTCCAAGTAGTACTCCAATACTATCCAGCGTGTGCAGGGCGAGGCAAACCATTCGCTGAGCGACTTGGCCGTGTGCCAGGGACATCTCTTATGCAGAATGTGATACATCACGTTCTCGAAGGTGTACGACGTCAAGGCGATCTCCGATCGCATCAGCCGCCACACGTCCAGTAGAATTCGACCGCATAGTTTCATTTCCACATCTAGGTCGGTGAACTGCTCCCGATCCTCGTCCACAAAGTCCCGAACCTTCTGCGTGGGCACGCGTGACAACAGTGGAGCTATGTTAAAGCACAGATGCTTAGCCCGATCGATCACAAAGCCCCAGGAGGCCATCTCGATCTCGTAGCCGGCATATATGTCCGCATCCCAACGGCCACACAAGGCCAGCAGCGCCTCAAACGCCTCCGCCTCACTTGCCACCACTTGCACTTCAATATCCCGATCCAGACCATGAATACATCCTTCACCTAGCAAGTCCTGGTCGTTATTTACCATAATATAGCCACAGGCTTTGCTGGGTAGATTTTCATCCGGCAAATTGTGCTCGATAGCGTAAAACAAACAGCGCATCTCATCATACATCGGATCCGGCTGAAGATCTCCTCGCGTGGACACAAAAACCTCTAATGTTATAATGGTCAGGTGGTTGCAATCAATGTCCGCCTTGGCCTGCTGCAGGTTCTCCAAATTAACCTTGAACCCGAACGTGTTGTCCAATGTGGCGTGACTGAGTCCAAAGCTGAGATCGTGCTGCCTCGGCTGGCTACTGACCTCCAACTGGCGTAGGAACGAACTCCGCTCTAGCTCAGCCTGGGCAGCGCTACTGGAGACGCTCTGCTCGCTGGACTGCGAGCTGATTGGTTCTTCTTCCACGCACTCCTTGAAATTCAGCTTGGTTCCTCGTTTTATGCGTTTCTTAGCCGATTCTTTAGCCTTGCTACTTATTGGGGTTGCCTTCGCTTTATCCGTAGCTTGGGACAAGGGTGTGAGGCTTAGGCTGCACTCGAAATCCTCACCAGCATCTTCATCTCCACTCCCACCGCCGCCTTCTTCCGCCTGCAGCATCATGGTGATCTTCTGGCGTTTAATCTTAATGGGGCTGTCTATGTCGGCACCTGGATTCCTGGGTTCCTCGCGCTGACGGAGCAGCTCCTTGGCCTTCAGCCAGATCTTGGCCTCTTGCCAGGTGGGTGCACGCTGTACAGGTTCGATTGCCACCCTCTGCTTGGTGCTAAAGTACTCTCGCATCCTTTGTTCACCCCTGTGACGCTGCAACATGGCTGGGCCACCGATGGCCACCAGTCGCTGACGCCGCCAGGAGGCCAACCCACGATCATTCCCCAGGACGCTCTGGAATGGCTCGCAGTCATTGAGCTTGTTGCCCGGGATGTGTAGCACTAGGAAGCCCACCTCCGTCACCTTGCTCACATCGGAGGGATTGCTGTAGAAAGGCTTCTGGAACTCGTACTCGGGTATGTCCATCTTGCGGCAACCGCGAACCACTTCATCGTATGATGGAGGCAGCTCCAGCGGAGCAATCACAAAGGAGTTGTTATTGGTACTAGCAGCAACGGGCTGAGGAGAATCCAAAGTCGTCATCGGGCTATCTAACAGGTCACTAAAGACGGACGGACTGTCTACAATCATCGAGTGCTCGTAGAAACTTCTCATTAACTCCGGTGTGTGGCTTTCATTGCTCTTGGGACTCAACTGTGGCGTTGTCTGGATTTCAGGTGGTGCTTTGCTTGAACTGGGAGTTAGCTGTTTTGTTAATAACTCCGAACGAAAGCTTCTTCGCAATCGCCTCAAGTTGGGAGTTTTACGCAGTTTGGGGATCATATTATCGCTTTCCGTGTCAGATTCGATGGCCTCATTATCGCTTCCTGCGAAGTGGCTAGAAGATGTAACAGGTAATTCCTGGAGATTAAGATCATTTTGTAAATTTTCACATTTTCCTGGAGTTTCTGGTTTTGAAACGGCAGCCTTCGTTGCAATTATTTTATTAAGCTCATCTGCATTGTTTTCAGGACTTGTTTTGAGATCTTTAGACCGCTTGGAACTATTTGTTTGATTTTGCTTAAGAATCTCCTTTGAGTTAGTTAATATAATTTGGTTTTCTGGTACTACTTCCACAGTTCCATTATCAGTATTTTTTACGGAGCTTTCAGATAGAGGATCATATTCAAGTATAGGGTTCTTCAAAACTTTACACCGACTAGAAGTGCTGGCTCGGGGCTTTGTTTTTTCTATTTCACTAAAGTTATCTTCGGTGTTAGTCGAATTCTCCTGATGGCGAGCACTTCGGCGTGGTTTTATGTCATTCAAAGCCTTGCTTTCTGACTTGCGTGGTTTTCCCTTACTGGGTTTTGGTTCTTTAGTTTCCTCCATGACTAGAATATCCTTTGCCTGATGACGAGTACTTCTTCGTGGCTTCTTAATCTCTTCTTCTGTCGGTATTTGCTCGCCATCTGCTGTTTCGAACATGTCGGATAAGCTGGGGTTCCTATCCCGCGGAGTCAGGGAGCAAATAATGTGTGTTTTGTCCAGGTTGCGAGTTGATCGCCTGGTACTCCGAAGAGGAGTACAACTGTCAAAAGCAAAAAAAAATATAAGAAGCTTTTAAGTACATATAATCTAGAGTCTTACTCGTTTCTTAGTTGAACGAAACTGTTTTCCTCAACACTTTTTCGTCGCAGCTCCGTCAACGCTAGTTTCTTGCGAAGAGGGATTTCTGGCCTACAAATAAAACTCGGTTCATTATAATTCGAAAATGAGTATACATCAATCCTTGAATTACCGAGGTATTCCCGGTGTTCCTGTTCCTAGATCAAGCTGCAAACTGAGACGGGGATTCAGCGTTTTTCCTGTGCTTTCTACGTTGGTTTCTGAAATGGATTACAATTATTAAAAGCCCATAAGTTCTACTATATTTGTCACTTACTCTTTGCTGAACTGCTCCCAATAGTCAGTGCCAGTGGAGCATATTTCTTGGCCGCACTAGTTTTTGGAGTGCGAGGGGATTTCAACAGGCTTTTCTGTCCTTTTGGTGTGGTGGGTGTCTTGGGAGGACTCCCCTTTGGCTTGGAGCTGCTTAACTTTTTAGGTGTCCGCTGTATGCCATCATCAGCGCCATCGACTTGCGGCAACTTATCTGATGCTTTCCGATGTTTCGGTTCCGGAGGTTTCGGCTGGCTTTGAGTTAGCTTAAGTAGCAGCTCATCCACATCGTCAAGGGCAATGGAGAAATCATGTCGGTTTTCCTGATCCGCATCTTCGTCGGAGCCACAATCCTCGTCAAAGAGAGCATGCGAGCCCACAGCAGCGGCTGCCGTCTCCTTGTCCAACAGCTCAGGCGTAAGATCGTCTAAAATAACATATGGGTATTATATTCACATAAAAAATAATACAATTCAAAACCACCTACAGGTTTTAAGCTGCGACAAAGGAGCCAAAGAGCTGTCCAAGTCCACATGAGGTTCATTATCATTCTGCTCCTCCAGCTCTTGCAAGGCATCCAAAAGTTCCAAATCCTCTTCCCTTACTGCAGGAAAATAAATTGTTACTTGCTCGAAAAGACATTTTTGTCTTTGGCAACAGTTTACCCACAGGTGGCATCGTGGGGCATCGCTCCATGTGGCTGTGTGAGACTGAGGATAAGCTCCTCGTCTACCAAAGTATCGTCCAAGTAATCAGACTCATTCGTCGGGGTAGATAAGCTGACATTGTTGCCGTTACCACAGGTTACATGGTTTTGTATGAAGGAAGCGTTAACCAATAGTTGCTGCTGATCCTGCGAGCATTCCTCGGGATAAACGGCGTTGGCTAGAAGTTTTTGCAGATTGAAAGTACGCCTTTGCTCCTTGCTGCCGGGCAAAGTGGTCTGCATGGTGACATTAGCCAGGGTTGTCTGATCCGACAAGGTTTGCTCGGACAACGTAGACTGCTCCAGTGTCATCAGCTTGCTTTCTAAAGCGGTGCGGTAGAAGACATCGCTCTCGGCGACTTCTATTTGGTGACGCTCTTGCGTAGGCGGTAATTGCAAAACAGGCACCTTAGATTGATATCAAGGTTATAAAGTTTATAAGTATTACAAGGATGACCGTAGTACCGCTTGGACCTTCTCCTCATCCCCAGCAGCTGTGTGTTTCTCAACCAGTTTCTGGCGACGCAGGTTCTCATCATTCCAGATCGCCTCGATGCCAGGATTGGTGTGATTGCCCTTGCTCTTGGCCACTAGCTGGAAGCGGTTCAGTATGAAACTGGAGCTGACATCCACCTCTAAGGCACTGCAGGCCACTTTCCTCACGCTTATGATGTCCAGCAGCTGGGCGGGCTTGACATTTGAATAGGGTATTACTAAATTAAAGGGTTAGATAGGAATTTAAAGAGGTTGTGCAGCCAACTTGCCCTCATCCTCGTGATTGCGCCGGAACTTGAGCACCTCCAGCGGAACATGCACGTAGCTCATCCCGTATAGATTGTAATCGATCATAAACTGCAGGATGTATGGCACATGCGACTCGTGCGGACTGAAATTCTTGCTCAAAATGACGCCGCTCTGGAGAAGATTGGCGGCGCGACGTACGAAGCGGGGATTGAACATGTAGATCTTGAGGAACTGGTGCTCCACGCGATGGTAGCCATAAAAGGGTCTGAAAAAGGGAACTCCGCTAGAGATGCACATCAAACAGACAATTAAAGAGAACTCACATGCCCTTGACCAGCTGAACTTTGAAGACATGCTGGGCATTGGAGCTGCCCTGGCCCAGGGATATGTTTAAGGCCTTGTCCAGGTGCATTGCAATCTGAAGGATACCTCGCTCAAGGCTCTCGAAGTCCTTCTTGTCGTACGGAATGTAGAAGTAGGGGAACACACCGTGCACATGCATGCAGGTCTTCTGGCCACTGGAGTTGCCACCGAACACCCTAATCACTGGAACCTGTTGGGACATGGTCATGGATCGTTAGTCCAGTTTGCTAACCATGGTGAAACAAGATCGTGCTCACCCGCTTGATCTCCTTGCCGCGCAGCTCGGAGTAGCAGGGATCCAGGCCGAACTGCGGCTTCTCCATGTAGAAATCCGCGATGACCAGGCGCACCGAGTAAACGCCATCGATTCCCTCTGCTGCAGCTGCCATTTGCAAACATTTATAAAACAAACCAAAATGTTTTCGCGCAGCAAAGATTCAATTCCAAATAGAGTGACCATGACGCGCACAACAAATCGATTATGCAAGCGATTATTCGATAAGTAGTTATCAAATTCAAACGAAGAATCTTAATTACATTTCATTAATACTTAAAAGCATTTTTAAAATTAAATAATTAAATTGTAATTAAAGTTGATTATGCAATTAAGAACAAAAAATGGAAATGTCACATTATGGTGGGCGGAAAATTTTTGTAAGTAGGGCATACAAATTATAAGATTAACATTTAAAAATTTTTATGTGTTATAAAACTTTAATTGGTTTTAAAAAAAAAATCTTTTAATACATTTGTATTGCAGTCGGAGTTTTACAACTTTTATGATTTCATACAAGTTAAAGTAATTTTAAAGATGTACCAATTGTATTGCTTTCAAATCTTTGAAGTAGATAGTCCTTGGATTTAGGAAACATTGCCTAAATTTGTTGATATTATTAATCAGGACAATGTCCTAATTAATTATTAATAAATTATTAAACACCCAAACAAATTACCTACTTTCAAAAACTTTTCAAATAATTACTGAATTCATTTTAAATCGTTTAAAAACCCCAAGACATTAAGTGATGTTCCATTTTCAAAATCCGATTTTAATCGATGCTTTTCAGTTGACACTTTGATTTTACTGAAGTGTGACCTTCGCAGCCCGCTGGCAAAATGCTCAACCGCCACCCCTACACACTCAAACTTTGCGAAAAAAAGCTCCGCTCCAGAAAAAGTGGCATTCGTAATCGCGAGCTGAAACTGAACGTGAGGAAAAGTGAATAGCAGGCAGAGATTTAACCATGTCGAAGATCGGAATTAACGGATTTGGCCGTATCGGCCGTCTGGTGCTGCGTGCCGCCATCGATAAGGGCGCCTCCGTGGTGGCCGTCAACGATCCCTTCATCGATGTCAACTACATGGTCTACCTGTTCAAATTCGACTCGACTCACGGTCGTTTCAAGGGCACCGTTGTCGCCGAGGGCGGCTTCTTGGTGGTCAACGGCCAGAAGATCACCGTCTTCAGCGAACGCGACCCGGCCAACATCAACTGGGCCAGCGCTGGTGCCGAATATGTTGTGGAGTCCACCGGTGTCTTCACCACCATCGACAAGGCCTCCACCCACTTGAAGGGCGGTGCCAAGAAGGTCATCATCTCGGCCCCATCCGCCGATGCCCCCATGTTCGTCTGCGGCGTCAATTTGGATGCCTACAGCCCCGACATGAAGGTGGTCTCCAACGCCTCGTGCACCACCAACTGCCTGGCTCCCCTCGCCAAGGTCATCAATGACAACTTCGAGATCGTCGAGGGTCTGATGACCACGGTCCATGCCACCACTGCCACCCAGAAGACCGTCGACGGTCCTTCGGGCAAACTGTGGCGTGATGGACGTGGTGCCGCCCAGAACATCATCCCGGCTGCCACTGGCGCCGCCAAGGCTGTGGGCAAGGTCATCCCCGCCCTCAACGGCAAGCTGACCGGCATGGCTTTCCGCGTGCCCACTCCCAATGTGTCCGTGGTGGATCTTACCGTCCGCCTGGGCAAGGGTGCCAGCTACGATGAGATCAAGGCTAAGGTCGAGGAGGCCTCCAAGGGACCCCTCAAGGGAATCCTGGGCTACACCGACGAGGAGGTCGTCTCCACCGATTTCCTCAGCGACACCCATTCGTCGGTGTTCGACGCCAAGGCTGGCATTTCCCTGAACGATAAGTTCGTCAAGCTTATCTCGTGGTACGACAACGAGTTCGGTTACTCCAACCGCGTCATCGACCTGATCAAGTATATGCAGACCAAGGATTAAACACTATAATCGTACACAAATTTGTACAAAAGCCCGGGGCCTACAAGTTGGTCAGGAATCACACTGTTATGTAACGCCATGTACAATGCGCCCCGGTAGTTCAGCACTATGCGCAATTAAATATGCTTTTTTGGTTGGCTCCTAAAGTTACCATTCAAATACAAAATATCCATAGCTACACAAATACATATATTTATTGTTGTTGAATAAAAGTATCGCTCTGTTACTGTATTTAAACGCCAGCTATTTAAAAAATAAATTCTTGTGCATAGATGAATTTGGCATGTGTAAGCTCAAGGTCGTGGGAAGGTTACATCAGGGCATCGCCGCCGGGAAAACTTGCTAAAATATATACATGTGTACAATGTGTGTCGATTGGGAGCCACCCCAAACTCAACCGGATGATATAAGCATAGCCGGCGAAATTTCTATTTATGTTTGTCTGCAAACTCTGGGAATCTGAAATTTTGGGATTATGCAAACATCTGTATATTTTCTTATCTCCTGCACTTTGGAATCTGGTCGGCTGCTGTTTGTTTTGTCTTCGATTTGCCGGAATAAAACATTCAAAGTCCAATTAAACTTTAAATTTATGGCCAAAACCTTAATTTGTTTATGTATATTATCTATTCAAAAATATATTTAGGAGTGGGTTTGTTGTGACTTATCGACATGTTCTTTCATATTATTAATTATATTATTATTAGTTTGGTACACCAAGGTCATGAAAGGTCAATTGCGGCATGATACACAATTATTCGACAGAAAAAAGCTATTCGATTAACATCAGCCAGGGTTGCAAAAAGCGGTATATTTGAAAAGTTCATCATGGGAAATCTTGGGATTTATTTTACAAAAAATGCATTTGAAAAGTTTAAACTTAGCCTGGGAACCAATAATAAATTGTTTCCATAAGGAAGGGCCATTAAAAATAATCACATTGTCAATTAAGTTGTAAATTAAGATTCTATTTTTATCAAAGATACAACCTCTTCACATCTTATCTGATCTCCAATAAATGCATTTTCTAACGACGCTTTCAGCTTTTTAAAAAAAAGCCAATAAAATATAATCTTATCGCGGAAAAGATAAGTCCATTTGTTGAACTTCACATTCTTAAATACATATGTATTTAATGTATATTAAATGGTATTAGTCATAATAGTTGTATCAGACCAATGGTAATTCGTTGGTTGGTTATTAAAATTGCGATCTTTTTTGGGCAAATCAAATAATGTCACTTTTTGAGTCTAGTTTCCATATTTTCTTGAAACTGTGCGAATCGTTCGGCAATTTTTTTAGGTAGCTTTTGTTTAAAAACTTATTAAATCAGTTAGTCCTTGGTAAACTATGTGGGTGATCGTTTACGTAGTGACGAAGCGCACTGAATGAGTGTTGGAAAACGACTATCAAACAAAATCAAATCAAATCATTTTTACGCACAACATTTAATTTCAGTAATATTGTATTCAAAGGGGCGATTGTCAATGATTTTTAACATTGTTAGTAAGTGTATTTGTCTAAATTCCACCCTATATATATATACTTTACTGAATAAACTATATTTAAATTACAAGTCCTTAAAGCAGACGCCTCTAAATAATAAAATAAAACTTTTGACAGTTAAAAAACGTCATCAAAAAAATTAAAAAAAAAAATATTACAGCTAAAATGATGCTTACAAAAATATTTATTACATATTTTACAAATATAAATAGTATTATTTATACTACCGCAGGCATAGATAACAGAAATCACTATATACGAAATCTGATTATTCCAGATTGTGCCCAAAAAATGACTAAAAACCTTTTTTTCGTTTATCTTATCTGCAATATTATTTCTTGGTATACATTTTATCTTTTGTTTTATATTTGTACTTTGACAATAATTTTTTTTGCCCTATATATAATTAATAAACTCCTTTTTGTCGGACAAATTCGAATATGCCGGGGGCTCTTCCTTGCGCATCCTATCGAAGGCCTTTTGTACCGAGTACAAAGCGCAGCTCAGATAAACTGAAAAGAGTGAATTTATAGGTTGAATGGGAGTAACACCCTGAAGTTCAAACCCATTACCTGCAATCGGCACGACCATAGCCGGTACAAAAATCCATTCTCCATCTGTCGTTATCAGTATAATTGCCAAATAAACCATCAGGTAGATGAAGAATCCAGTGGTTATCATCCACGGCACAAAGAATTTGTATTTGTGCTGTGTTCCATTAAGAGATTATTTGATTTTGGTGGTATATATATAAAGAATATCCCTTACCTTACCAGCTCCAAATATAAGGCTTAAGCTGCCCAAAATTTGGAGGATAGAAATGTGTATTCCCAAGTCGTAAAGTCCATCTAAAACAAATTGACGAAATGTATTATGTTTTTCACAGATCTGGCATATACAATACTCGTACGTCTCCAGAAATAGTCGTCCATCAGGGCCAAATATGTTATAGCAAAGGCTATGGACAAAATGCCCGAGCAGATGATACCTCCTTTGGTGTCCAATTTCAACATGTTGGCGACTTTGCAGTTTGGGGAATATTTCACAACTGAATCGGAGTTCTCACCGCCTCGATGGGCAAGCTTTTTCCGCAAACCCTATCTTATCTTTTATTATCACATTACAATCGCAACAAATGAAAAAACCTTTGTTCGTTTGTGTATAATTGTAATTTTATTGAAGGATTTGCTTTTTATTGCTTCGACTGGCCAGCAAACCGAGCCTCAACCATGCTGGCCTTCTGCTGGGGTTCCCCGTTTGCTGGCTAAACCATTTTACAATGAGTTACGATCTCGAGTCGATTAAATTTGTATAATGCAATGAAATTGATTAGCTAACAAATTGAGTGGCGAGTGTGCAAAAATTTGTTAATTGTAAAATTTGTAACATGCATTCATATTATTGTTTTTGTTTTCTTTTGCATCTTTAACTAGTATAATTAAGTATAAAAAAATGTTACTGCAATAGCGCTTCGCATCGCATGGCATTGCTTCATATGTATTGATGTATAATTATTCGATTTTCAATTAACTCGCTTGATAATCCGTAAAATGTAGCATATTTTCGATAATTTTCGAGGCATAATTCTGCGTGAGAATCAGTTAATTTGAGTTAAGTGGCATTAGATTTGGTTAATGTAGAGTTAAGAAACTTGGCAAACTTCCGCCCCATCCTCTACTGGTGTTCTCAAGTTAGTCAAGATATATAAAAATACGTAGATTATAACATTCGATTAGTACAAGTAGGTATGTATAAATATATAAAAAGTACACAACGTGTAAATTAGACTAAGTCAATAGAGGAGAGCTCCTTCGGGCAGGTTGCTTAGCTGCCCCTCGTGCTTGTGTCCTTTTCTCATCATTTTTTCGATTTTAGATTTTCGATTTGTTGCTTTTCGTTTTTTGTTTTGTTTTTGGCAAAATCACAGGAGAATTAGAAATAATTAACATAGGCTATGACACATCAATGCGATAGAGTGCATGTGGAAAACTCTCAGTTACCGATTCGATTCGAAAGAGCATTGGTTCAACTTGGTTTGCTTTATTTGCCTTCACTTCGCATGCAGTTGGTTCCCGTTTTCAGTTTAGTTTTGCTTCTAGGGTTTTTGAATTCATTAAATGTATATTTGTATAATAAATTATGACTATATATGCATGTATATATATATGTATATAGATGTATATATTTAAGAAGTAAGTAGGAGGCGCATTATTCCACTTTTCAACTTAGGATAACAACATTGTTTTCGCGATTTGCTCCCCAAGCGTTCGATCGCTTTACTGACTGACTGACTGACTCTGAACTGGCTCGCTAATGGCTTATAACAATATTCAACTAGAGAATCGCTGATCAAAAATAATAACCATAATCATAGTGGTGATAGTGACAATCGAAGGATGCGTCGACGCATGTACAAAAGAATAAATAAAATCGCGTATAAAAAGGATCTGCGGTAAACCTATTTTAGACATCGACAACCATCTTCTTGTGAATGTCCGTGTTGCCGACCACCGAGCAGAACTCATCGAACGAGATCTTTCCGTCCTCATCTTTATCCGCGAAACCGATCGTCTTGTCCACAATCTGCTGCAATTGCGTATCCTTCAGATTGTTGCCTACCATCATTTTTAACACCTGTAATAGCAAGTTGTTTATATGGTAATCTTTTTAGGCTAAAACACTTGGTCTTGCCTGAAACAGTTCGCCGTTGGAAATATAGCCATCATTGTCCATGTCGTAGATGCGGAAGGCGAAGCGCAGCTTCGACAGCTTGTCGCCCTTGACGCTGAACTGTGACACGCCCTGGATGAACTCCTTGAAGTCCACCTCGCCGTTGCCGTCCGCGTCGAAAATGTCGATCACGCGCTGCACCAGGGGATTCTGTTGCAGCTCCGGCAGCGACATGAACTCATCCACGCTCAGCGCTCCCGAGTTATCCAGGTCCAGTTTCCGGAAACGTTTGCCCAACCGCCGGATCTCATCGGCGTCGACTAGTGGAGGTCAAGAAGATATGTGATTAGAAATTTGATTTTTTTTACAGTGCAATGCAGTTTCACTAGCACTGGGAAAAGGTATAAATGAAATATGAATACAGGGAAGCTTTTATAACAAAAATAGGCCATTCACGATCTATTATGTGACTTATAAAATATATAATTGCACCTTATCTTTGATATGTATTATGTATTTTAGGGTTTCAGAAACTACATGATTTGAACATTTTTGATTTGTAAATAAATTAAGCTAATAAAAATAAAATAGATGGTAATGTATGAGAAAACATTTTATATAGATTATAACAAATGTTTTTAAGCCCTATATAACATTTTATCGCAATTTAATTCATAAAACGCAGTTGCTAAAAAATGAATAATGCAAGTGTCAACGTTTTTAAAGATATTCCTATAATAGATGTAAAATCAGATCGCTAGATTCTGGTTAAGATTGCAGGACTGTAATTTATTTTTAGCGGCGTGTTGTCTGTCGATCATCTGAGATGAAACAAACTGTGACAAAGACACATTCTAGAATGCCAATTTTGAGATACGAAGGGAAGGTGTAAAATCTTTTAATGATGCGGAATAAAGAGTTGGGAATTATAAATGGAATTTCGACGCCACGTTTTGCATTTCACTTTGTGTTGGTCATTCGCGTTTTGGCAAACATATGTACGTACATACATACATACATGCATAGCCCGTATCTAAATGTACGCTTGTATGTGCCGATGTTTGCATATTCATAAACAGCTGCCTTTCCGTTCAAATGACATTGACTGAAAAATTTCGTACTTACAATTGGAACACATTTCCATGGGCAGTGATGTTTCATTTCCCTGCAAGGCAAATATGTATATATTAAAAAAGGGAAATTGTAATTTATTGCAGCAGCAGGTGGAGGGGAGAGGGAGGGTGGGGTAAGAAACACAAGAACGAGAGAAGTGAAAAACGGAAATTGGCCTTATAACGGCACAAACTCTCACTCCACTTTCCGTTCTCTCTCATTCTCCCCTTTTCCCCCACTTCCCCTCCCCCTTTGCACTTGTTCTTCGCGTATTTTGGTGGCATTTTATTACCATTTTGGTTTCGCCTTTTGTGGTTCTCCTTGGATGCTATCTATAGAGTGCAAATAAAGTTGCCTTTTTTCGTCGCTGCTCTTCCGTTTTTTCTCTGGTTTCGTTTAATTTCCAATCACGAGGGCTATCCTGCACATGCTAGTGGGGTTTCTGGGGCGCTGAATTACGGTTTTGTTGTGGAAATCTTCGGTTTTCTATTTTCTATTGTGCATGAGTTTTTCCACAGCAGCTTTTAGTGTGCCCGTGGCTCGAGCGTCAAAAAATACCAGGGGCCTCAGGGGAATATACTAAAAAGCTTAGCGTTGGCAACGCGGTTAAGGGGCTGCCAACTTTTTGATTATGCGCGCGTTTTGAAATAGCGGGATAGATTTGAATTTATATTTGCGTTCTAAATAACTCAAATATTATTCTTTATTCATATATATTTCAATATTATCAAAATAAGCAAATAAATAAATTAATTAAATTATTTTTTTTTATTTTTTTACGGACAATTTTAAACTATTTAAAGTATTTACTTTCAGTCAACAAAGTGCTACATAAAAATTTCTATATTTTTCGGAGAAATGCTATTTTTGCTGAAAGACAATGACACTTAAAAACATTAAGTCCGTTTCTCTAGAAATCTTTCTTTAGATATGTGAATCTTCTTCTACTAAATTAACTATTTGTATTTACATATGAAATTCTTATCTGATAGATATGCTTCTTTGTCATCACTTTCAAAAAAGACTCCCTGCGAAGAAATATTCTTTGTTGGATTACCATATGCTAACCTTTTATGTAAATTGTTTTACAAAAACAGGTTATAATGATAAAACAAATTACAAATCGAATGATGATATCTTAACTCGATAAGATGAATTGTTATTGGAAAAGGAATAGAAAAATGAAAAGTACCTTTCTGACCTCACCATAGATATGCGACCCCTAGACAGCGGTTTCTGGCTACGCCTCTGCATTTAGTTGGCTTCCCGCAGCAACATCAAACAACCACAGATAGCATTTACTGCCCATCTGACATAATCTTTGGGTTAAACATTTCCCCAGCCAGTTGACTGGCTTCCATCTCACCTCCATCTTCATTTCACCAGAGACTTTCCACCAGAACGGTCATGAGTCAAGTAATCATCAGCCAGGAGGTAAACGGTCGCCAGGAGGAAGGACGGCGACGTAGAGTTGCGGTCGTCGGAGCGGGTTTGGTAAGTACGATATAACTAGAAGTGAAAATAGACAATGAACTTAAAGTCATATATACAAAGACAATAATATCGAAATCTAAAACAAAATTGGTTTGTAATTAAAACTATTCACAGCATAATTTACAAAGTGTGGCTTGCAGTTCCAATGTCAATTTTATAAATGTATTCGAAACATTTTGAAATTCGACCTGATAAAATAAAAGCTTTGGAATGTGCGTTCAGTGCTTACAAAAATTACTTTCTTGATCATTTTTTAAAACGCCATATTAATTTTGATATATCCTAGCTACTTTATTTTTTTTATGCTGCTCCATTTTTGTGTGCAGCCACTCATAACTATGTGTTTCTTATCTTTAGCACTTCTTAATCCCTGCTTCAAGATACAACTTTTTTATCAAGCGAAAGTAGTGAGCTAAAACTATTTCTCTTAATCTCCTTCTCTAAAGATGGGTTCACTGAACTTTCCAATGTGCGTTCAGTGCTTACAAACAATTCTTGTTTGAACAGTTTTTATAAACATTTTTCTGATACTTTCACATATATTTTTTTAAAACTTTCTTACCCACATTAATAATTTTATGCCACTCTATTTTTGTATGAGTTGCCTTATCTTTAGGACTTCTTAATCCCTGCTTCCAGACAAAACTTTCTTATCAAGCCAAAATAGTGAGCTAAAACTATCTCTCATAATCTCTTTCTCCAAAGGTGGGTTCACTGGCGGCCTTGAATTTCGCCCGCATGGGCAACCACGTGGATTTGTACGAATACCGGGAGGATATCCGTCAGGCTGCGCTGGTTCAGGGCAGGAGTATTAACCTGGCTCTTTCGCAGAGGGGCCGCAAGGCCCTGGCTGCCGTGGGTCTGGAGGAAAAGATCCTGGCCACCGCCATACCTATGAGGGGTAGAATGCTGCACGATGTCCGGGGAAACACCAGTGTGGTCCTATACGATCCTTGCACCAAGCAATGTTTGTATTCCGTGGGTCGCCGCCAGCTTAACGAAGTCCTTCTGGATGCTTGTGATAAGTTTCCCAATATCCACTGCCACTTTGAGCACAAATTGACGAGTGCCAAGCTGAGAGAGGGTTCCATGGAGTTCCGAAATGCCAACGAGGATGTAGTAGCCGCCCAGGCAGATCTTATAGTGGGCTGCGATGGGGCCTTCAGTAGTGTTCGCCAGCAATTGGTCCGTTTGCCGGGTTTTAATTACTCCCAGGAGTATATCGAAACAGGTTACCTAGAACTTTGTATACCCTCGAAATCGGGTGATTTCCAGATGCCTGCCAACTATCTGCACATCTGGCCACGAAACTCCTTTATGATGATCGCCTTGCCAAACCAGGATAAGTCGTTCACGGTCACGCTTTCCATGCCTTTTGAAGTCTTTGCAAAGATTCAAAATCAAAATGATCTACTGGATTTCTTTCGCCTGAACTTTCCCGATGCACTGCCACTCATTGGAGAGCAACAGCTCGTTAAGGACTTTTTCAAAACCAGGCCACAGCACTTGGTGTCCATTAAGTGCAGACCGTATCACTATGCTGATAAGGCCTTAATATTGGGAGATGCCGCCCATGCCATGGTTCCGTATTATGGCCAGGGAATGAATGCTGGGATGGAGGATGTTACGCTGTTGACCGGAATTTTGGCCAAACAGTTGCCGCTGGACGAGGCTTTGGCCCAGTTTACTGAGTCCCGCTGGCAGGATGCCTTTGCCATTTGCGATCTGGCCATGTACAACTATGTGGAGGTGGGTTTTGGAATTATCAGTTATTTAGTTCTCGGTTCTATTATAACCTTACTATTTTTTCAGATGCGCGATTTGACCAAACGCTGGTCCTTTAAGCTCCGAAAATGGCTGGACACTCTGCTTTTCCGTTTGTTTCCGGGCTGGATTCCTCTCTATAATAGCGTGTCCTTTTCCAGTATGCCTTATAGCCAGTGCATTGCCAATAGAAAGTGGCAGGATCAGCTTCTAAAACGTGTTTCAGGCGCCACTTTATTGGCAGTGGTTCTGGCAGGAGGAGCCTTATATACACAACGTTTTTTATGAAATAAATCAAATATCTTTAAGAAATTTATCAACTAATTTAAATGTTCCTACTTTCGGTAGAAATTTGAGCGAAAAAGGTTTCTATAACACCCCAAAACACCCCAACAATTCAGAAATCTTATTAACAAATTATTATTACATTTGTAATCTACTAAATGTAATCATCTACAATAAGTCAAATGAATGTAGAAATGTGTAGATACAAATACTGCCAATAAAATGTATTTTTACATTTACACCCACATATTTTGTATCTATTAAATGCTCGACCCTTCGTGTATTAAAAATAAAAATTTGTTGAGAAGCATCAAAATATATCGTTTTTTTTTATTACTTCCACAACAAGTACATATTAAGCTTTATGTTTGGTATTTTAACATTCAAAAATATAGAGAACCGAAAGGAAATGTGTTTGTTTATTCAAAATTTCCTCATACAGAAAAGCTCTCGTGGGTTTCCCCTTGTGATCGGAAATGTTTCAATGGAAAACTTTGTCAACGTGAGTCATACCATAAACACGTACAATGTGCAAACTAAGTAATTTTAAAATTTACAAATGGCTTTATTTTATTTGCTTCGTAATTTGTGTGCATTATTTCAAAATGATTTCAACAGAATTCAGATTATAAATGATTAATTTTAAGTGGGATTTTCTAGATAGGGAGCTTCAATAATAGTATAAATAAATCGGTTGGACGAGCTTGATAACAAAATTAAATTGATATTGCATTAACGGTTTACGCTGAATTTTAAAATCTAAAAATATAGATTAAAACAAAAATTAATGTTTCACAAATGGATCCACTATTTCAAAACAAATTAATATATATTACATACTTTACAAAAATGTAACTGATTAGCAATTGTTTACTGTGGATGCAGGCAGCTATTTAAAAAGATCATAAAACGGCTCAGCATAACAACTTGTTGTATTTAATTAGTTTCGTAATTTGCTGGCATTACCCTAAAATGCCTTAAAGGTAGTCAAGATTAGAAACACTCAATTTGTTACGCCGTTTTGTAGATTGGCGCCACCTTCAATCAGGAATCGAATTGGTTGATGGAACTGAAAAACGCAAAAAAAAAGCTGATAAACTATTGTTTACTGTGGATTCACGCAGGTCTTATAAATAGGTACACATGCCCGATGTCGTTTGTTGGCAAAATAATTGAAATTTCTTATTGGCCGCGTGGCTACTACGCATCGAATTTGGTCTATAGGGAATGGGGACTATCATCAACCGGTGGATGTGTGGATATTTTTGGGTTTGTTTTGTCGCTTTGGCTATTGAAGCGGCGACAGCCAAAAATACCCCCTGACAATGTGATTTTTAGCTATTTCCACGATTATTTCTAGTCGCAGTTTTGCAGCCTTGGTCACGTGATCGTGATCGTGATCCCCGAGCATCCGGCAGATGCATTTGTTTGTTTTTGTTTAGCCTTCTAAAGGATCAGTGGGGCATATACCCTATATAGAGCCTATAATCCTATAATTCATATGCATAAATGGTAATAACCCGCTGATCGCGAAGCTTTTTTAGGTGTGACAGAGAGAGGAGGGGGTGAGAAAGCTTTCAATTAATTAGCATTCGGTTGCCACCCCAACCCTCTCGCTCTTTCACACCCCATCCCCTCCAACCACTACACCTCTGTGGGGAAAAGCAGAGAGCGATAAAGAGAGCACAAGGTCGGCGCTTTCTCAATTTTGAAACGCCAACGCCGGCCGGTATTTAATTATTACAACAATGCTGATCGTACGAAGCTTTCTCTCTCTCCCTCTCTGGCCTGCCTCCCACCCCCTTTTGGCTCCCTCTCTCTCTTAAACGCAGATAAATCAGTCAAAAACAAGGCTTTAAAAGTGAAAATTTTAAAAAAACAATAGCTTCAAGGCATTTCTTGACCTACTACTAAAAAGCTCCAAAAGCTTTGTCTAACCATGGTAAAAAAAAGACATGGAGATTAGGAGGGGAAGAGCGTATGATAGCGATAGAAAGAGAGGGAGACAGTGCTCATTTCCGACTTAATTGTTGTTGCTAATTCCGTTTCGCGAACATTTCGTTGGCGCTCTCTAGAATCGTCGGCGCCTCCGCTTTGCTCCCACTAGCGACAGTGAAGCTTCGACGAATAACTCACGGTAACCGTTATTTTGTGAGTGATGTCAATAACTCCAAGTCAAAAGTTTCAAACCATCTCTAAAAGATAAATAACTAAAACCACACTATCTACCAAAAAATAAGTTGGATGTAATGGGCTTTCGAGTTATAAAATATAATATACGTGCATAAATAGTCTCGCTACTAATAATAATTTGTAAATTTGTAGATCGTTGGTTGAAAGAGACTTAAAGTTGATAAGGCTCAAGTTAGGATTTGTTTACTTTAGTTTGGTAATTAAAAGTAGGCTTATTTTTTGGATAATCAATTACTGAATTTGAAATTTGTATTTTAGCCGGTTTTCAACCGTTAATTGGAAGGTTTTCAACATATACATACGTATAACAAGTTGTAAGGAGTTTTTTTTAATGTTGTAAATGTTAAAGTGTATTATTATTAGTTTTTTTGTATTATATCCTAGTGCAACAAGCATACATATGTATGTATACTTCACCTACTTTTAAATTTTTGATTTCTAAGTACTTTGTAGAATTCACCTTTTGAAAAAATTTTTTTTTTTTTAATATATCCCACAGAAGATCGGTGTAAGCAGGTCCCACTGTACCCTGTACCGCTGCCGCCGTCGCCGTTGTCGTCTTCGCTTGGCCGGCGGACCAGCGGGACAGCGCCATCAGTTGCTCGTCACATGTTCAGCACTCAAGTCTCAAGTAGACCAAGAAAGAGCAGTACAGTGCCAACCGAAATCGAACGCCTAGACAGACAATCGAATACAGCAACTCACTAACAGTTAGTCCAACCCACACTCCCTACCCCGAAAACCGAATATAGCGCTATTTAGCCAGGTGCAAGTGCTACTTCTATCAGCCCTTTTTGCTGTCAAATCAAACCGAAAAACCGAAAACCACATTCTAGAAGCTTTTCGGCAAGCTTCCGCCAACTGATTGAAACGCGTGGTCCCCAAAAGCGAAGAAAATAAGGCAAAAAGCAAGCGAAAAAAGTGAAATTGAAATTCAAAATCAAAAATCGAAAAGTTTGGGAGTACGTACGCGTGTGTTTGTGTGTGAGTGAGTGTTCCGCAGTGTGTGTGTGAGAGATTGTGTGCAGTGCAACGGTATATTTCGAAAACCAAAAGTAACGGTAATCGAGCAATTGGGGTGTCACTTGTCAGAATTCGATCAAAAAGAGAACCAAAAGTTTTGGTTTGTGTTACTTTGCCATAGTAATCCAAAATCAAAACCAAATACCGAATATACCGATCGCCATCCTGGCACGCCCGTTAAATTTTGTGTGAGGGCGATCTGCCAGCGGTTCGCCGGAACGTTCAACTCCACCCACACCCTGCTGCCCGTCGTCGATAGCATACCGATATCGATAGCCGTTGCCCGATACCGATAGACCACGATAGCCGCTTGCTGTGATACAACTTTCCGATAGACAATTCAGCAATCCTTTGCGGCCATCCATCCCATCCCACTGAGCAGAAAACCAGAGCTCTTTTGAGTGGGTTTTGGATTATCAGTGACTAGGCACGACCTGTCCGAGAATTATTCAGGTAAATATATGGACGCACACACAATCACCGTTATTGATCTCGCTTAATTAGTGGGGCTACGTGACTGCAGCGCAGATCGCAAATCGCATCGTGTCGCATGGTTTTGTGTTCTGCCTATAATGAAAAACAAACCAGAAATGCGGATAACGATCTAGGCACACACCATCCCGCCCTGAACCCATCGCCCCTCTTTGGTTCTCGGGTGGTCTTGGCATCTGGCATTTCCGGTTTCGCTATTTTTTGGCGGTGTAGAGATATGTAGATGAAAACACCTTCAGATATTATTCAACCCAAGATCCTCCTCAGGTGGTTTTATCTTTTAAGTATGAAGTATTTTCAAATCTTATTTAATTACTTTTTTTCTAAAATGATTGATGTACTAAAAACGTTATATAAAAAGGAAAATCTAGAATTGATACTAAATTTACATTATTTTTATTATCTTTTTAATATTGTATTTATGTTTTTGTTGATTCGGAATCTTTGGAAAATTCCAAAGAATATCTTTAGCTTTGGGAATTACTAAACAAAAATGATATCCCTTCTCTTTAATTGATACTAAAATCACTGACATTAAAGTATTTTTATTCTCTGTTCAATATTGTGTTTATGTTTTTATTGATCATAATGGAATCTTTATGATATTCTAAAGAATAACTTTAGCTTTTGGAATTATTAAACTCTATAAGCATAAGTTCAATGATAAATCAATTTAACGCGCGTGGGGAATACCCAAATTATTTTAGTATTCGTTTTACACATAAACTAATACGTTTGCTCATTAGGAATGTATAATTACCTCTGGTCTTACACTCATCCATCATTTTTGGGTTCAAGAACGGTTAGTGCTCGACAATTCTGGAAAAGCAATTAGCTCATTGGAAACAGGAGATGTTTTGAATATCTCCCGTTTGTGCGATTGAGTCATAAAGTCTGGTAAACACGAATAAAATTCGCAGGGGAATTGTTTAATTTTGACGGGGGCTACTTTATTTCTTATACCCTTGCACATGGTACTGTAGTTTTGATAGGGAATTTATAATATTGCCATTGCAAAATATTGTATCGTTTGTATTGGATTTAATTTTAGTTAATGTGATATCACTTATTTTCTGGATCCATTATCCTATAGCTCTAATATGTTTTTAGTTACTTCTTTTTTTATAAGATATAAAGCATTGTACTAAAACTGCATGGGATACTTTTGAATCTTTTCTCTTAGGATCAAGGGTATACAAACTCCGGTTTGCCAAAACTAAAGCTTTTAGTTTCGTTTTGACGTTATATCAAATGCAGCGAGTCGAGTGCAGTAATAAAGAGTTTTAATGGGGGAATAAACGTAGGCAGTTTTACGGGAGTCAGTAATATTGATATTGTGGTCAGATTACTGATCACACATTAATTCGTTGGAGGCGTTAGGGAAGAGAAGGGTAAGGGAAAATAAAATAAAACATTCCGATACGAAAACTTACATCATCATACTGGGGGATAGAAAGAGAGGGTGGGAGAGAAAGAGGGAGAACGCGCCCGCCAAATGGCAAGCATTTACATACCAACACACATTCATACATATGTATTAAAACATACGATATATTTCGGCGTTTTTGTTTTTGTTTTTCGATGGACGCAAAAAATAAGTAATACAAATTGCGCGTTTGAAAATGGTGGGGACTTTTTATATGTACATCTGGCTCCTTAGGCAGTTAATCAACGCAAAAAAAGTGATAAAAAGTAAGCAAAGAGGGAGACGCGAGAAAAAGGGGAATATGCTTTATAAAAATATACCCACGGCATTTAGAACACATAAACAAAAGTCCCTAGCGGAATGCTGAAAACAATTATTCGACAAAGCAAATAACCAATAACTAATTCTGTTTCCTTATTCTCTTTGCTCTCTTTACATGTTCTCCCTGCATTATCTTGCGGTAAATATGAAATGCCCACCAAAAGGGGTAGCAAACGCGAAGAACAGCAATATCGCCGAAAGACAAAAAGACGCAGTTGAGAAAAAGTGTTAGCAAGTGGGAAACAACATTAATGAATTTCGTGATTAAAAACATTTCAAAAGGTGTACAACAAAAGCTCATTTAAAATATAAAAATAAAAAGAACGCAAGCGAAATATACAAAATATAAAATCGCGGCGCGCCAACAACAAAACGTGGCACAAACTGAAAACACAAAACAAAAAGCTCAACGAAAACGAGAGCGAATGCGAATGCGCGCGCGCGAGTGAGATAGCAGTTAACTAGAGAGTGAGAGAGAGCGCGTAAAGAAGAGCGGTAAGCGAGAGAGAGAGAGAGCGACAACAACAAAACACAAGCGCAAGCAGAAGCCAAAAGCCAATTGCGCACAGAACGTAGAAGAAGAGAGAACTAACGGAACTTTAAAAGCGCAGCACGGATAACGGTTTAAAAGGGCCAACACCAAGAACCGTAACAGAGAGGCATCGAAAATGGTAAACAAGGTGAATAGCAAGAAGGCGGACAAGGACAAGGAGAGGCAGCGAGAGGCAATGTTGCCGGCGGCGGGCAACAACAGCAGCAACATTGAGAACAGCAGCAACCTTAGCAACATAAACAACAGTCAAAAACCCATTAACAAAACAGTAAATAACAAAGGTCAAAATGCCAAGTCAAATGGCAGCAACAAAAAGAATGCAGGCAAAGGACAACAGCAGCAGCAACAACAACAGCAGCAGCCGCAGCAGCAACAGCAACGCAGCAAAAAA